ATTCCTTCTAGTTCATTTTCTTGTCCTACTCGGAGGGGACAAAGGTCAAAGGTACAGGTTTTAAGATGGAACCGGCACATTTTTCTGATAGGAAAGATAGAAGCCAGTTTCAGTTATAAACCAACACCTATCTCTCCAAAAAGATGCTGGTTCTAGCTGTTGGCACCCAGCGAGCGCATGTTTGGGTGAGAAAAGAATTATATGTGTCGGTTTTAGCTGTTCTGGCACCTATAGTGTCATTCTTTTTATGTGTTTATGCAGTAGTGCATGGCTTCACCTGATCTGGTGGATATATATTTCCCTCGCTTTGCTCCACTTTCTCTCCACTGGCGCATGCCTAGCCCTGTCCAGTGACTTCTCCATTGTTGGCTAAATTAAGCAAACATAATTAACATATATATAATAAAGCTCAAAGAGCAAGATTAGCTCATACTATAAATAATGCTTACGACCCCTAATTTCCATCCCCACCATTGATACTATATATAGGCGAACTGTCTCCTATAAAAGGCACTCCATCAATTGATCCTTGACATACAAGAAACAAAGGAAGCTATAGCTGCTCATACAATCCCTGGTGACCTAATTTGTATGGAGAAGGTGAGTATGAGGCTGGGATTGGTGGCGCTGGTGTTACTAGGCATCATGCTGGCGGCGAGCCAGCAAGCTGTCGACGCATCCAGCCCTACATCGGCAATAAGCTATGAAGGCCTTTACAGGAAACCTGAGGACAGGCCCAAGAAAGGTGATCCCGTCATGAAAGCTCGTGGTTGCACAGAAGCTATGAAGTGCAATGGCTGACCGACAAGTGCACAATTTGCTCCACTCTCTGGATTTTCATTTGTTGGTTTCTTCCTGGCAACGAAAGCGGCATTGCATTGTGTTAGCTATTTTCTTTTGCTTCAGAAAATTTTTTTACATCTTTTTAAAAGTATGAATAGAATTGCCTTGCTTTGTCACAGAGTACGCGTGAAGAAATCCATTGTATGTACTCGATCAATTGGCCACTTAAGAAAACGTGTTAGTTTGCATGGAGACATGATCTCCAAAATGTAATTTTGTCTACTACTTTCTGTTGCCATCTTTCTATACATACATATATTAAGTGGGTACTTTATAGTATCACTCATGTTAATCAGAAAAATCTGACCATTAATTCCGTAGATTGTAATATCATGGCCATAGATCTTAATTATTGTTTTATCATGGGCTTCTTTTTTCCAAACGATGCATGTCATCTAATCCACCAATCCAATTTGTCCCATCTATTACATACAGTCCGTATCGTATCTCATCCTCTCACAACACACATACTGACTCTATCTGTGTGAGCCGTCGTTGTGGAGAAAATTGGCATTGTGCCACTTTCAAGAGTGGGTTTCGCTGTAATGCCACTCCTCAAAATGATTTCGTTAAAATGCCATCGCCAACATGTGCCAACACGCTGCTTCGCTATGTTTCCATTTTCACCAGATTGAGCCAAGAATTGGCATGTGTACAGACCAATGTGCCCCTGTCTCATTCTTTAGGTTTGTGAGCGAAAGGGGATCGATATTATTTGCTGACTGCTTTGATTTGTCGGCGCACCTGAGGGGGCTCTCCGTTGGCGCCGCGATGGCGACACTGCACGTCTGGATCAGTGACCTGTACGCGGCGCTGCAGGGCGGGGACGAGCTCTCCCGCCGCTGCTCGGGAGTCGCATCTCAAGGAGCTCGACGTGCCGTTCCAGAGGCGCCCGATAAGGCCGGCTGGTTCTTGACGACGAGCGTGGCTGCCAGGCACTGGCTGGAGACAAAGAAATCGGCAGAGTTAGGGCTGTGTTCTTTTGGAGGGGTTGGCAACCCCTCCCCTCCGCACGAAAAACGAAGCGATAGATTAACACATGGTTAATTAAGTATTAACTATAAAAAACTTGAAAATTGAAGTAATATAATTTTTTTAAAGTTTCTATATAAACTTTTCGTAAAATGCGTACCATTTAGCAGTTTGAAAAACGTGCACGCAGAAAACGAGGGAGATGGGTTGGGATCCTATGAAAAAGAACAAAGCCACTAGTGGTGTAAAATGCAACAAATAGGACTATATAGGATTTTTCTTGGTTGGGCTATTCGTAGTATTATTGCACTTTTATGCAGGTGTTCTCAGCTTTTCTTCCTCCACAGATTTCTTCTAATGGTAAATGCTCAATTACTTTGCATATACTGTTGCCTCTGCTTCCATTGACAGAAGAACATCAAGTCCAATTCCTCATTCAATTGAAATAAAAATTGCTGTTAACGTTAGGTTTGGCATATAATCAATAACACAATCTACAATGCTTCCAATTCAGATATACCTGCAAAGAGAGTGAGCACTGATGAAGAGGGGATAACTGAATAAGCTGGGGCAAGACCAATGACCAAATAGATCTGATGTCAGCTGAATAAAAGCAAAGCTAGTACTTGTACAAAATGAAACAATATAAAAAAAGACAAATCAAAGCAGTCGGCAAATAATCTCGATCCCCTGTCGCTCAATGACCTAAAGAATGAGACAAGGGCACATTGGTCAGTACACATGCCAATTCTTGGCTTAATCTAGTGAAAATGGAAAAAGAGCGAAGCAGCGTGTTGGCAATCGTTGATAGCATTTTAATGAAGCCATTTTACGGGGTGGCATTACAGCGAAACCTACTTTTGAAAGTGGCACAATGCCAATTTATTTCTCGTTGTTATGTTCTCGATCGGTGACAATCGCCGCGTGTTCATGATGATCTACAAATCGATACTACCGTGAACACGGCGTGGCCGTGCAGATGGTTGAGAGCTACTACGTGAAAGAGCATATAACTTTCGATTTTCTATTCTAACGACAGTATCAGGCTGGTAACATTTATCGTTGAATTCAACTTCAGGTAAACAATTATATGCTACTAACCGTCAACCCGTGCGTTGCACGGGGTAACTTTATTGTTTTGAAAAAAGTCATTTGGAATAATCGCACAAACACAATATATTCTTTTGTCCAAACTATTATATATTTTCTTTTATTTTTAAAATTATTTTTCCAGATATCTTATATTGCTAATAACCTCAGTATTTAATTTTGTAAACTGGAATTGTGGTCCTATTCAGACTCAATGCTATCGTTATATTGTGGAAGTGAGACATCTTTTAACATCGTTATATAATTCATCCTCTTTAGCAGCTCATAAAGTATAGAATTTTATCTATTTGGTATTTCTAATGTTTTAGCAATATCCAAATGAAAATAAAATTACTATGTTCTTCTTTGTGGATAGTGAATATTCTATAGATAGATAATGTTATAAGCATTTTAAGTTATTATAAATATAATAAGATATTGGAACTGTATAATTTAAAAATATAAATTTTGACGACAAAATCAAACTACCTTGACCAAAACATATGACATGAATTTGGTAGATATAAAGAGAAATATTGATGTGAAAGTGTTTGAAACACATGTGTATGAATACAATATTTATACATAATTGTGATGAGTATTCTGAGGAGATCTTGCCTAGCGTTGTGTGTATGCGCCACGTCGCTTCCTCCTGCAGGCAGTCCTGATCTATATGAGATATTCTCAATAACTAACATGTGTAGATTACATATGTAAGCTACTAAATATTTGAAGAATACCTGCGGCTGCCGATGTGGTACGTGTGCTTCGATTGGTCTGCAGACTGCAATTAATCGATCTGCCGCTTGCTACACCTTGTTGTATGTGCCTCGATGCACGCCGGCGCTAGAGAAATTTATCTTGTGATGTTGTGATCTCCAACGATCTACTCCCGCGTATTTCTCACACCGTACGACTCCCAAATATACGTAGATGAGCAAACGAAGAAATATTAAGATATATGCACCGGAGCAAAATATATAAAACTCTGTTCTATTTCTCTGTGTTTTCTGGAATTATTTGATTTCCTGCATTGGTAGACATTGTGATGAAACCTTAAAAATTGTTATCATGTAGTCTGATTCCTCAGTCATTGATGGTCAAAATACTATATAGAATCATATATAAAGTACTTCCTTCGTTTTATAATATAAGACTTTCTATCACTTTCCACATTCATCTAGATGCTATGTCTATATTCATTAACATATATATGAGTGTGGACAGTGCTAGAAAGTCTTACATTATGAAACGGAGGGAGTACAATATATTATGGTGCCCTGCAGAAACATATAGCAATCACCTTAAAAAAAGTAAAATATGGAATTTAATATTGACTGATGAATTTAAGCTATGTACCATACCTTGGGAAGTAAATTATTGTATACATTTTGTTTTGAAGATCAAATTTTCCAAGGTATCAATATTATAAGCAGAACATTATACTGGACCATGTTGAACTAATTAATATTATTTATAACTGTATTAAGGCATGCAACAAATGTTCTTTATTAAAGAAAACAGTACTGGCAAAAACTGTAAGAGAACATGTCTAGTATGGTATATTCAATTATAATATCTAGCAATCACCCGGAAAGAAGAAATATTTAATCTATTGTCAGATAAAATCAGAAGATCAATTGTGTATGTATTGCAAGGAGGTGTGACATATTACTTTACTTAAACACCGTGGGAATGCTTGGAATTTATAGCACCACGTCATGCGATTTTTTCAGAAAAACCCTCCTCCTTTCGTAAAATAATGCACACGTCCGAATTTGTGTTCACCGTACGATCACCATGAGGCTTGATCCGACCATCCGTGTGGCTTAGCTGGCGGATGTTCCACTGCCCTCGGATCGGTGGTTTGGCAATGAACGGCTCAGATCTCATGCTTTGACCCTCCCACACAAAACCCTAGCGCCGCCCAGCCGCCCCCAACCTCACGCCCCAACCCCACGCCCGATGGATGGTGCCGCCAACTCGCCCTCTCGCTGCAAGACGATGGTGGCGCCGTCTCCATTCCCTCGCCCTCTCTCTGAAGGATGGTGGAGGCGCCATCTCATTCCCCGGCCGTGCCCTCTCGCCGCAGGCACCATCTCCGTTCCCTTCCCCTCACAGTTTGGGTGTCGCCGAATCTCACTGGAATTGGTTCGCCACCTTAGGGAGTTGCCGGGACTGGTTCGTCACCTCTGTGGCCTGACGATCTGCTACCCACGCACTCTACTCCTCCCCAGGTCAACTTTACACTCCATTTGCCTAATCCTCTTAATCGCTATGATCAATCCAGCCTGCTTGCTTGTGCTGATTCCATATTCGCTGTTCAACTCCTCTGGTGAAGGCATCAGCAGACACAATTTGGTACACTACTACTTAAATCCCTATACATATCTGTTCTAGCCCCTGATCTCTATTCTTAACTTGCTGATCATTGTGAGTTTTACATGATTGGTAGGAAGCAAAGAAAAAAGGGAGTGCAGGCTAGAATGCTAGATTATTCAGTACTAATGTTTAAACATCACCGCCCAGGTACAGATCAAATCCTCTCCTTCTGTCCTGCATATATTGTATATGAATTGAATATATTGATATTGTTGGAGAGACGAGGGATTGCAGTTTTCAGGTTGCTCACATCATTCTGTTGATTGCTTTTATGTCTACAAAAGTTTAAGGATTACTGCACCAGCTGTCTATGCGATACGACTAATATCTTTTGCACTGTAATAGTTAACTGATTTTCTTGGTCATCTGTATATGTTTATGTACACTATATGAATGTCGTGCTAAATAAAAATAGCTTTATATAGGAGCAACAAAATTTTTCTATGAAAATATTATAGAAAATGGATTTGAAATGTATATTGTTATGGATTGTGTTTCTCAACCATCTTCTCCTAACAGTATCTGTGCCCCTCACCAATAGCCTGCCTATACAGGCTCACTACAATGGCCCACGAGATGCCATGGCCACATGTGTGGCGGCGATGGCAGCATCCAGGCCCACATCAAGGCCTGCGCCGCGCTGAGAGCCATCTCCGTTGTCACCGCACATAACACCATTAGTTCAGGTATGCTGCCGAATTTCCTCCTTTTCAGTTTGCTCTCTTCGGCTGATTGGCTCAATGATTAGGCTGCCAGTAAATTTCTCTTTAACAAAGGCCTTCTATATGCTTGGTCAAATTCTTAGCGGCAAATCTAAGTTTATTCTCCAAATACATTTGTTCCTGCAACTTTTTTAATTATAATGTCCTATATTTTTTATGTCAGCTAACTTCTGCGTAAAAAACATTTGTTCCTGCAACTTTTTTAATTATAATGTCCTATATTTTTTATGTCAGCTAACTTCTGCGTAAAAAACTTTTCACTAATAATGATAGAATATTGAAGATGACAGTGCACCGTCTATGTCAATTACCAAAAATGTACAGGTTAAATATGTGTACATGGTCCTTCATAATTGCATCCTGATGTACATCGGTACACGTAAATGCCAATTGTTTCTGGAATCTTAACAAATTTGGTCTACAAGAACATATGCTTTAAAAAACTGTTCTTTATTATTATCAATTACGCTCATTTGGGATTGTACATAAATGTATATCATATAGTACTACATGGTAGATGTGATTTTCTTTCTCAAGATATATACTTCAAAATATAAAAAGTTAGTTGGAGACTACAAGTTTTGATGTTCTTTGCTTAGTTGTCCTTTTCTGCAAAATGTTATTGTGTGAATTGTGAAGTAATGTCAGTGTTCCTTCATTGTACAATACTGGTAATAATATGTTGTGAGCATGTCAGTGAGTTTTCTTGCTGTCACCTTTCTATGCTTCTGTTTTTAGGTATGGATGTTTTCTTATTGTCTTTTTTGGATGATATATGTGGTCTTCATATTTCTTATCAGATTATTTAGGTTTAGTTCCATGATAGCATATCATGTTTATGCTATCAGAAGGTTTTACCTCAAGTTCTTTCCTCTCCAACAAATCATATTTTATTTGTTAATTCGTCGTGTGCTAATTCTGTACACAGAATGGCAATATACACATTTGCATTGATGATATTCTTTGTCGATCGACAATCTTATATTGGCTATTGTGATGCATACATCATCAGAAATTCTCTGTAAGCCTGACAATCTTGGCATATTACACATATATTTGGATCATGCAATTAATTTTCTATGAGACAAACCTCAGGATCTTTAGGGCTCAGAATAGATAGATGATTGTGCCGATATTAAGGTAATGATATGATTTGATGGTGCAGGTCTTTTAGCTTCGTATCTGGAGGAAGCTCAATTATTCTATGAATCATATTGTCACCAGTACATTGGGTCAATATTGGGTCTATAAGTCAAGTCAAGGCAGTGATCACAAATTATGTTGTACATCTAGCAACCAAATATTTATTTGGCTCAATTGAAGATTTCAGTATTTGTAAGAACTTTACTAGACCGCGATTACTACATTTTTAAATTCAGTGCAGGCCCTATGTATAACAAGCTAACATTTTTCTTATGCTATAGCCATTTCTATATCTGCTACTATTATTTAATATTGAATTTTTGCTTTGCAAATACACTTATAGAGTTTTCATTGTAACCTGACTTCAAAATATGATTTTATTACTTTTTTAATTCATGAAATGTTATGTTTGCCCCTTCTCCAAAGCTACAGAGATATTTCAACACGGTTTCTCAGAAGAGTATTTGTCCTACCTGCTATATACTCATTGTGTAGTAATATATGGTGACATCCAAACATGCCATGTATTCTGTAGGGGATACCTCAAAATTCTATGCCATTATGCAAAGGAGGTACCAATCATCTACTAATTTGTTGTAAGTACATGATGTGATGTACTGCTGTTTTTATTGAGCTAAAGCACTAAATTTTTCTTTATGCATGCTTTGCGATAGATGAGAAAAGATTCAATTAGTTCTCATGATGAAGGTATCTATGAGAAAATGTTGCAATTCCCAGATCACCTAATGATTGCTGTTTTTACTAACCTATACCCTACATTATGTAAGATCCATTGTCCTCTGTCATTGCTACTTTTTTCTAAGTGTACATAATTGTACAAACAATTGTGTGAGCAAACAGATTATATTCACATTTAAATCTTGGTGATAGTCATAATGTGTATATGCATATGTGGGTATGCTTCAGACATAAAGTTCTTTTAGACAATGTTTATATATAATTCTTAAAATTTACAACTACAGATACTGTGTTGTTTTGATCTTAGTAACACAGCTTGAAACATTCATACCCATGCACGCAGCGTAGCACATGATTCTTGCTAGTTTACATGAAACTTCCTGCTCTAGATTAGCTAGGGCATGGCCTTTGGTTGGCTGCTAACTGCCGCAGAGGTGGAGTAGATCTGTTTTCAATTTGATTAATCAGCCGTTTGATTTGGCTGCGTGAAGAGGCATCAAAATTGAGTAAATGATTATCACTATTTGCAAATAACAACACCATGGATTGAACTATGAGAGGAAGCATCGGAGCAGTGGATTGATCGATCTCTTGATTGACCTAGGGTTGTGGAAGAAAATGAAGATTAGGTGCAAGACTAGAGTGGGACGCGCCCCCATCACTGTAATTAAAGCGGTTGATTGGATGGGCTTTACATCAGGCCCACCACGTTAATGTAGATTAGAATCTATAATCAATGGTTAGGATTATATGATGTATCAAATTAACGATCAGATTTTACTGGTTAATGTGGGAGCTCGTAGAAAGTGCCCAATTATTATAGGTATAGAAGATTTATATCAACGTAACACCCTATTTCCGTTTTATCACAAGTGGCAAATGCATCACTGCATTGGTGGTGTGGAAGACGAGAATATGATCACCTAGAAAACATATTAGCATAGATCAGCAACAAGGTGATCATGGAAGGCTTCTTTTAAAACAAGTGATCATGGAAGGATCAAGGGTGAAAGAATGCAACAGCAACTTAAGAGTTGAGATAATCTATCAATTTAGCAGGCAAATCAGGTTTTCAGCGCTTTTCTTCTTTTTTAAAAAAATAAATAGGTATTTTCCCACTGCGATCATAAATAATAAATTCAAAAATTTGGCATACATTCATTTCTTACGTCCCTTTCTAAGTACACATATTTACGAGGTCACAATAATGCACAACTTGATGTAGTTTTGGGATGGTACCCTGACTTAATTATGACCAGGCTATATAACAACGGATCGTCCACAAAATAAGGTGCATAACCATAAATATATTTGATAACTGCACACAAGTCCATCTAGATAACAAAAGTAACACCGATGCAACTAAGTGCATCTTATTCAGCAACCGACCAAATTAAAGACGATGTGGTTTTACTTTGCGTGAAGCATATATACTTCTTTGTCCTCTTAGTTATTCAATTAACCAAGTAGCCATCTCTTGTTTGAATCTTTCCATTGCAGGCCGTGGCAACAACATGGAGATGACAGTTGACCTCTCACCTTTTTCATTCTTGCACATGAATTGGTAGCTTGTCATATCTGGCAGACTAACAGTCGGTATGCCACCTCCAATCCGCTTAGCCCATCCAATATCCAAAGTGTCCTGTCCAATCCATTTTATATCACATGTTTCAAATATTCTCTCTACTTTTATGTACGGTTTCTCACGCCATAGTGGCAACAAATCTACCATCAATTGCATATTTTCCTTTGTCTTCATCTCGTGTTTAGCCTTGCGGACAAGTTCAATTGTATGCCCTAACGAGTTTGTGCACAAGTCATTAACTGTTATCTCAATGACAGGGCACAGAAGCCCATTACCATAGTATCCCAAAGGAAGCTTCTTCCATCTTCCACGCGCATTCACAGTTATCATCAAGCGTACAATCTGGCAAGGCTTGTAGCCAAGTGCCATAGTACGGGATCGCCATAGAACAGCAGTTAGTAGCTCAAAGCTTGTGACTGTTTTTGTAAGATTAAATGGGACATGACGCCTTAGTGCAATCATGTCTCTTTGAGAGATGGTAAAGTATTCAGACACCATGTTTTCAGCGGGCATTGTCACCATAATGTCGTCACAGGTGGTGTTCTCCAGTTCATCAAATAATTTCTCTTGTTCTTCCTTGATGTTGGGTGGTAGACTTGTTGCGACAAAGTGCTCCCTTTCCCAAACTGGCAACGTGGTTGGTTTGGCCTCACCACGTGCAATATCAACTATAGCTTTCAAGAACTGAAGTGTGCCAAAGGCATCAGCTATGCAATGACAAATGTGAGTTCCAAGGACAAATCCTCCACATTTGAGATGAGTAATCTGTCAAACAAAAACAAATTCTAATGAAAAACCATACATATATGAGTAAGTTTGCGACTGTAAACCATGCATGCTGAAATGATTTTAAGTTATAAAGTTACAACTCTTTTTTTGCAACAACAGATAGCAAATGTGACTGCAAACATGGGGTCTCTCCATATATATATGTAAGGATCTAAATATGGTTGTTCCTATGACAATTTTCCTAAGCCGTCGTTCCTAAGACAATTCATAAGTCCCCATATAGCAAATGTGTCGTTCTCTCACCACGACCATTTTTTTTAAAAGTCACTTTTTATATTATAAATTGCATAATTTGCACTAGTTAATTTTAGAACTTACTATTCAATTGTTTACAATACACATTTTATAAAAGAATTAAGATAAAAATAATTGAATACCTACTTGAAAGAAGGGATAGTAGAAATATAGGGTGAAAATGCCTAAACCAAATTAGAAAACATTGAAAGTTCCAAAAAACCACAACAAATGTCACCATAACCTTAAAATTCCCCCTTATAAGACGAATCGTTGCAAACATCCCCTTCTAATACCCCTTGGTTTGAAATTCGCCCTTATTTCATATGAATGATAACAGACAACGAGCCATGGTCGTTACTCATATTGCTAGAGGTAATGACACAACAACTCACGGCGGCCAGCAAGACAGCATGTCGTTGGGCAGCGGTGATCCAGAGTTTTCGCTTTGAACATGGAGGTCACCGAACATAAGCTATCGCGCTTGTCTCGTGGAGTCTGGCGGTAGATGGTTTAATTCTTTGATAATTTCAAAATGAGAAAGATGAGTTCGCGATGCAATCATTTACCTATTAAAAGTTGTGTTTGGTATTAACACACGTGGAATTGAAAAAAAAAACACGTGAACAAGGGTAACCGTGGAGAAATATCAAACAAAGGTGAATTAGGAAGAGGTATATATTTGCAAATCTTAAACTCGAGACATCGACGATGGTTTTTCCAATTTTTCCAAGGAAATAATAGGTCATATTTTAGCAAAACTGTTTTAATTGGCTGCTAATCGAGTGCTGTTTCAAAGCATATGTATCTCGATATAAAAAAAACATATTTAGTGCGATTTATCACTTATTTTTTATTGTCATTTTGCTAGATTCTTTTTGGATATCGGTGCAAATTTCTTTTGGTCTATATCCTCCCCAAAGTATATCTCACATTTTTTAGAATTGGCTTGTGAGTATTGATAAGAAAACCAATAAACTTATTCTTGTAGGAGCATCTACTATATGTTATGCTCTATGGCCTTATATAAATGATATATTTTTTTACAAATCATTATCTAAGCCTTACGTACAAATATTTTTTGGGTAATATATTGGATCTAGTTCTGGGCACAATTTCTAAGATGTGATCAGGAAAACAAACGCATGCATATGTATGCCGTTACCTAGAATTAACAGTTATGCAGATATATATTCACCAACTACAGATGGAGATTTACAAACAGACTTCAATAGTTATGCGGTCTTTGTGTAGTGTTGGTGGTAATTAGTTTGTGCATCGCTTCCTGTATTTTTGCGCTATTTCTGGAGCAGATTTATGTTAATAACTTGCTGTAGCTTCTCAAGCAAAAGCCTTCCATTATATAAAAAAAATTGTATCTCGAGTCGTTTGGATACTACTTCTGAAAAACATTTTGATCAGTTAATCGTGTCAGCAACGGTCAATCCATCCATGCATGCATGCAGCTGGATTAACATTTACCTGCATGTAAAACAGTGGCCTCCCAACGACGACTCCAGCGTCCCCAACATCGCAGAGGAAGCTTTCAGCGCCACGGAACGTCGGCAATGGCGGCTCGCCGAGGTCCTCGATCCGCACGTCCGCCTCCGCCTCCACGAACACCACCCCTTCGCCGGTGCACTCCACGGCGAGCCTGCCGCCCTTGGGCAGCTCGCGGAGGCGGCCGGCGATCGGGTAGTAGTACACCAGAGCCTCCGCGAGGGCCGCCCTGATGGCATCTCCCGGCCTCGCCGGCTTCCGCCGCTCGCCGTCGTCCACCGCTCGGAAGAATTCGAGGCATGGCTGCAAGTAGCGGAGGTCCCAGTCGTCGTCGAGGTCGGAGAGCGGCTTGGTCCCGCGCGGCGTCGCCCTCGCCGGCGCGACCAGCTCGGGGTTTCCCCGGCGTGTCACCATGAACGAGTCGAGCTTCATGATTCTATGTACGTTTGGATGGATGGATATATATGGATGATAATTATCTGTGTGACAACAATTTGTGTAGGTAGACACGACTGGTGTACTGTGCTAGAATGCAGCTGGTTTTTGTCTCCCCGTTCTTGAACACAAATAGCATGGAAGGGTTGAATTTATACACGCTTGGGAATGTATCGATCGATATTCGTGGGAAGAGCTTCAGGTGGTTTTTTTTTTTTCTAGTGAAGATGAAGTTACGGAATGCAAACCAAGAAACCATTAGCACATGAAAAAAAATAAGTTATAATTATTATAAACTTAAAAAGTAAAATTATTTGATATTTTTAAACAGTTTTTTATGAAAAAATTTTCACACAAAACGCGTAAAATCTATATGATCTTACATAGAAAAAAACACCATGAGAGAGAAGAAAAACTTAGTTGCACACGCTGGATCGACAGAACCTCGCTGGCATGGCACAAAAGTACACGTACTCTCCCATGTGGATGAATTAAACACTACAGAAAAATTTTGAAATGTGCAACACGACACCAACGAAAACGTCAGGTCAACATTTATTGTTCGGAGTAATGAAAAAAAAAAACAAAAAGCAGTATGCTAGTAGTCGTGTGAACTGTGTTGACCTTGAATTTCTCTTTTTTTTCCTCCATATATACATACAGTTTTTAGTTGATGTCTTGTGTGTTCACACATGTCATTGTGTTGTACATCTAAAATAAATTCACAAGTTTTTGTGTACTTATTTGAGGGCACATTTTCATGTGCTGGTACGTGTGGTAGCGTACTGCCATATAGTGTATACTGCATAGTCTGCCTATATATATAGTACTCCGTACGTACCAATTAAGTTACGCATGGCTCAAGATCCAAAGAGAAAAGGAAATGCCCTTTGTTTATTTTACCATAGAAAACCATGTGACTAGCTTAAACGTGTTTCTTGTCTAGAGTGGGACGTGTAATCTACGTGGCATTTTGTTTCATTAATTTAGTTTCTCATTGGTCTTCCTTTTAAGGCAAGAGTGCCGGCCCGGAAGCATGTTGGTTAACAAGCATTAATAAACGGAATTGCTTAAAAACTGTCACAAGTTTTTTGGAAAAAAACTTTTAAATGTAACTATAATATAGTTTGTAGGGTAATTATAATGTAATTGCACAATAGTTATATTGTAACTAAAGTGTAGCTGCACTGTAACTACATTATAATCTTCATATAAGTTAATTAGATATAAAGTTGTATATATTATTTTAATACTTATATACAACTTATATTATAGTGGAATCATATTATTATAGTGGAATCATATTATTAATACTTATTTTAATACTTATATACAACTTATATAAAGTTTTACTTTTAGGCTTTACTGAATTTACTTTTATATGTCTAAGAAGTAACTTAGTGAAATCTAAAACTAATTTAGACATATCGTAAAAGTAATTTATAATTTTTCATCAAAATGTAATCATGTGAGATCTTGTTGTAAATATTTAATTATTACGAACACAATAGGTGTAATCGAATTGTAAATCGGATGAGTAATTTAAGAGAAAATTTTATTTTAAGCATAGATGATAGGAATATTTCTCCTATTTGCTCAATGGATTAATAGCAACCAAAACTCCTAAAGTACTAGCACATGGGTGTCTCAAGTTATGACTAATTGGAGAGGCCTCTCCAATTAGATTTACCGTTTTTTTTCCCTTTTAGTCCCTCATTGGTCTTCTTTTTCGATGCTTCTGTTTTTTTTAGGCCAATAGGCCTAAGAGGTCCTTAGAAGCATCTTGATTGAATCACCAGAATTAAAAGTTAGACTTACACAACACAGAACTGACACACAAAGGACCCCAAATATATACTACTTAAAATGTTAGTAATGGTGGTTGCAGGATTGTAAAGAGTATTTCCCACCCCAAAAGCTAACCAATCAGATGACAGGGCTCCCCCACTTATATATTAGGTCCTTGCCTTTCCACAAGCAATGTGGGACTATTCAATAATTTTTCCCTTCACACATAGGTGTCCCTCAGCTGTTCACCGCCCCTTCACCGTACACCGCCGGTCTGTTGGTATTTCCTACGATCATGGATAAATCCACAAGTGCACGAAATACCGTTATCGCACTTCACCCATGAGTATTTCCAAGAGTATTGAATTTATATTTTTGCAGGTAAGGCGGCGGAATGAAGACATACTTATATCTTTTTAATCCGTCTATAATTAATTCACCATAGTCTATACATGAGTTAGGATAATGATTGATAAAGTAGTGGATACACACAGGAGATTCACCTTTAAACGATTTGTGCCCCTTGATGAGAGATAATACCCTACTCCTGTTTGGTGGATTGGATCCACCGAATTGTTTTGACAATGGAGATCTTGGTTGTGTCGATCTTGTGGATCACTTGTCTTGTTGCCCTTGATCGAGCTCCCTGCCCACCTTCTATAGGTTGGGGGAGGTTGGATGGTAGGGTTACAAGGAGGAAAATCTAGCCGGTCACGTCTTCAGTTTCCTAATCTATATGAGGTAGTATTCAACCGGGGTTCTATACCCTACTTTGAGACATAACGCAACATGATGACTGGGTCCTACTCTATCTCAGATTACATCGATGTAGCCCATCACCCATATATAGTTGGATATACAGGTTGTGTGGGTACTCGTTACTCATATCGTCCACATTAGCCCATGAAACCTTCACACTCGAGTTGTAGTTTTCTCTGTGATTTATGACCGATACTAAGTGCTTCAATCTTCTCTGATGATTTCATGAATGCTTTTCTTCTTGAGTCCGTATTATATCTTGCAAAGAGGCTGTGCAGAGCTTTCCAAACAATTTATAAAATAGGCGAATCAAAGAAATACACCTATTAGGTGTAGCCCCCCGACTATGTGGTAGTTGAGAAAAAAAAAACTTAACATGTAGTTGTGGATCATATCAGAGCTTAGCGCGGGCATCAGCATGGATGCGGGAGGGCGGTGTCGCAGTGCTACAACGGTATTCGTGCGCTTATGGATTTATCTATGATTATAACAACTACCAACATGCGGCGGAGGCAAGGTCACCCATCAGTAGCGTGGCGGAGTTTACCGCCATGTAGGAGAAGCCACCAGTCGGCGACGGCATAGTCGACTGGCAGTGGAGACGAGGTCGCTCATCAGTGATAGTGTGAAGTCAGCCGGTGTGGTGGTGAGGCCACTAGTCGGTGACAGAGATGAGATCCCCCATCAGCAGTGATGGAGTTGGCCGGTGTAGAGGTGAGGCCACCAGTCATTTGCGATGAAGGTAGCCAGTGGCGGAGAGACGAGGTCACTTATCGCTGGTTTCATCATAGAACGCCACTAGAGACGCATGATAGGTGACGAATGAATTTTCGTCACGCGAGTGTCACAGATTACGAAACGTGATGAAAAATTCAATGGTTGTGATGTAAATGAAATGTCATCTATCATAAAATCTCGTGGTGCGAGCCCAACTTCATACCTACAATTAAAAAGCAATACCTTGTTATTTTTCCACACGTTACAAGCTCACGGCAAGTCTGAACCTATCTTCATTTAGACGGTGTTTAGATCCAAGGGCGTAAAGTTTTGGCGTGTCACATCGGATATTATATAGGGTGTCACATGGGGTGTTTGGGCACTAATAAAAAAACTAATTACAGAATCCGACAGTAAACTGCCACTACTACAGAAAGCGTTTTTGCATACGGGCGGAATCGATCTTCACATGCGGTTGGCCGGCCCGCATGCGCGAAATGGTCTGCAAAGATCACCATTTGCGCATGCGGCCGTCGCACCGCATGCGAAAATAGATCTTCGCATGCGGTCCATCTAAGAAGCCGCATGCGAAGATATATTTTCCCATGCGGTCGACCTAACAAGACCGCATGCGAAGATCTATTTTCGCATACGGGCGTCTTAAGTAGACCGCATGCGAAATTCAATTTCCGAATAGCTAAAATAATATTTATTCTAGCCTTTTGGTGAGATGTGTCTCGTAATTAATATTAAATTATTGAGGGATTTATTATCGTATTTCGGAGTAGTAAGCATATAAGATAAGACAAGTGCCGCAGTAACAAACATGTAATACATAACCATTAATTCAATCGTAATTTACATACGAAATATATAATACAAGTGGCACAGTTTTTTCATCATGTTATTGCATATGTATAAGTACTATACATGTTATTGCATATGTTCTTTCTCCCACTCTCTGAGAGGTTTAAATTTATCGTCCATTGCGAGTTCACTCTGGTTGTCGTAGAAGAGACCTCTTGCGTTGCAGACATCGTGACGGATGAATCGGCAGAGGTCAGCGGCCACGTTCAAGATAGTAGTGTCGTTAAATCGTTGTGCAATATATGGGATTTCGGGGATCTGCACACAGAAAGGAAAATAAAATGGTACTTAGTGAGAAGTGTGTGCGAGATGGGTTTCTTCGTAGAGAAGAGTTCGATGACTTACTCGGTTACTGGTTGTTTTGTACCTCCCATTTACTCTGAGCATCTCGCACACGTAATAACCACACAAGTTGGTTCCTGGTGGTTGTTTGTAGCACTGCGATATAATTATGGAGACCGATCTCAGTAGATATATTTAGTATATATGTACTGTTCGATAATTAGTTGTATTGGTATAAATTTGATAGTACCGGCCAGCCAATCCTGACGGATAACTTCTTCTGGGATGGAATATGTTCTGGTCCACCTCTTTTGCGGTAGTACTTGTGTGCTCTGTTTGAAGGAAACAATTGTTTTATTAGTAGTTAGAAGACTGGTGATCGACCTAAACAATTTATAGTAATGAAATGTTTATCACTTACAAATTCAAAATAGTGAGGAATTCCATAAATGTCTCCTTGTCATAGTGTGCGGGGTCCAATGATATGATCAATTGGTCTTTCGGATATACAAGGAATAATATGTAGTGGTCTCTACATATAAGATAGGCTTATTGGAGATAGAAAATTCCGAAGAAGATAAATTAATTAAACAAAAGGAAGAGAGAGCTTACGTGAACTGGTAGGGGACCATTAAGACATCTTTGTCGGCGTGCGCCAACATTGCTATTGCCAAGTATGTTGCTACTTCTAGCTTCTTCCTCTTGTGCAATGTCTTCACATATTCTTCCTTTTCTTCAGGGGTC